ATCCTTATTAACCAATCCCCTGTCAGATGCTCCTTATTAACCAACCTCCCTGTCAGATGATCCTTATTAACCAACCTCCTTGTCAGATGATCGTTATTAACCAACCTCCTTGTCAGATGATCCTTATTAACCAACCTCCCTGTCAGATGATCCTTATTAACCAATCCTCTGTCAGATGATCCTTATTAACCAACCTCCTTGTCAGATGATCCTTATTAACCAACCTCCCTGTCAGATGATCCTTATTAACCAACCTCCCTGTCAGATGATCCTTATTAACCAATCCTCCCTTGTCAGATGATCCTTATTAACCAGATGATCCTTATTAACCAACCTCCCTGTCAGATGATCCTTATGTCAGATGATCCTTATTAACCAACCTCCCTGTCAGATGATCCTTATTAACCAACCTCCCTTGTCAGATGATCCTTATTAACCAATCCCCTGTCAGATGATCCTTATTAACCAACCTCCCTTGTCAGATGATCCTTATTAACCAACCTCCCTTGTCAGATGATCCTTATTAACCAACCTCCCTGTCAGATGATCCTTATTAACCAACCTCCCTGTCAGATGATCCTTATTAACCAACCTCCCTTGTCAGATGATCCTTATTAACCAACCTCCCTGTCAGATGATCCATATTAACCATCCTCCCTGTCAGATGATCCTTATTAACCAACCTCCCTGTCAGATGATCCTTATTTACCAACCTCCCTGTCAGATGATCCTTATTAACGAACCTCCCTTGTCAGATGATCCTTATTAACCAACCTCCCTGTCAGATGATCCTTATTAACCAATCCCCTTGTCAGATGATCCTTATTAACCAACCTCCCTGTCAGATGATCCTTATTAACCAATCCCCTTGTCAGATGATCCTTATTAACCAACCCCCTTGTCAGATGATCCTTATTAACCAACCTCCCTGTCAGATGATCCTTATTAACCAACCCCCTTGTCAGATGATCCTTATTAACCAACCTCCCTGTCAGATGATCCTTATTAACCAACCCCCTGTCAGATGATCCTTATTAACCAACCCCCTTGTCAGATGATCCTTATTAACCAACCCCCTGTCAGATGATCCTTATTAACCAATCCCCTTGTCAGATGATCCTTATTAACCAATCCCCTTGTCAGATGATCCTTATTAACCAATCCCCTTGTCAGATGATCCTTATTAACCAACCTCCCTTGTCAGATGATCCTTATTAACCAATCCCCTTGTCAGATGATCCTTATTAACCAATCCCCTTGTCAGATGATCCTTATTAACCAACCTCCTTGTCAGATGATCCTTATTAACCAATCCCCTGTCAGATGATCCTTATTAACCAATCCCCTGTCAGATGATCCTTATTAACCAACCCCCTTGTCAGATGATCCTTATTAACCAATCCCCTTGTCAGATGATCCTTATTAACCAATCCCCCTGTCAGATGATCCTTATTAACCAATCCCCTGTCAGATGATCCTTATTAACCAATCCCCTTGTCAGATGATCCTTATTAACCAATCCCCTGTCAGATGGTCCTTATTAACCAATCCCCTTGTCAGATGATCCTTATTAACCAATCCCCTGTCAGATGATCCTTATTAACCAATCCCCTTGTCAGATGATCCTTATTAACCAATCCCCTTGTCAGATGATCCTTATTAACCAACCTCCCTGTCAGATGATCCTTATTAACCAATCCCCTGTCAGATGATCCTTATTAACCAATCCCCTTGTCAGATGATCCTTATTAACCAATCCCCCTGTCAGATGATCCTTATTAACCAACCTCCCTGTCAGATGATCCTTATTAACCAATCCCCTTTGTCAGATGATCCTTATTAACCAATCCCCTTGTCAGATGGTCCTTATTAACCAACCCCCTTGTCAGATGATCCTTAACCAACCCCCCTTGTCAGATGATCCTTATTAACCAATCCCCTTGTCAGATGATCCTTATTAACCAATCCCCTGTCAGATGATCCTTATTAACCAATCCCCTTGTCAGATGATCCTTATTAACCAATCCCCTTGTCAGATGATCATTATTAACCAAACCCCTGTCAGATGATCCTTATTAACCAACCCCCTTGTCAGATGATCCTTATTAACCAACCCCCTTGTCAGATGATCCTTATTAACCAACCCCCTGTCAGATGATCCTTATTAACCAATCCCCTGTCAGATGATCCTTATTAACCAATCCCCTGTCAGATGATCCTTATTAACCAATCCCCTTGTCAGATGATCCTTATTAACCAATCCCCTGTCAGATGATCCTTATTAACCAACCTCCCTTGTCAGATGATCCTTATTAACCAATCCCCTGTCAGATGATCCTTATTAACCAATCCCCTGTCAGATGATCCTTATTAACCAATCCCCTGTCAGATGATCCTTATTAACCAATCCCCTTGTCAGATGATCCTTATTAACCAACCCCCTTGTCAGATGGTCCTTATTAACCAATCCCCTTGTCAGATGATCCTTATTAACCAACCTCCCTGTCAGATGATCCTTATTAACCAATCCCCTATCAGATGGTCCTTATTAACCAATCCCCTTGTCAGATGATCCTTATTAACCAACCTCCTTGTCAGATGATCCTTATTAACCAACCCCCTGTCAGATGATCCTTATTAACCAATCCCCTTGTCAGATGATCCTTATTAACCAATCCCCTTGTCAGATGATCCTTATTAACCAATCCTCTGTCAGATGATCCTTATTAACCAATCCCCCTGTCAGATGATCCTTATTAACCAATCCCCTGTCAGATGATCCTTATTAACCAACCTCCCTGTCAGATGATCCTTATTAACCAACCTCCTTGTCAGATGATCCTTATTAACCAACCCCCCTGTCAGATAGTCCTTATTAACCAATCCCCTTGTCAGATGATCCTTATTAACCAACCTCCCTTGTCAGATGATCCTTATTAACCAATCCCCTTGTCAGATTATCCTTATTAATCACTTACAAAGATATCTCATTCCCTAAAATGTTGGAGAATTAACACACACCTAATATCTATATTGAATTGATACGTTGAGAACAATAACCCCACGATTGATATTATATTTAAGAATATAAAGGTTAATTACACGTGTATATTCTGAATAAGCTCCTTAATTTATAAATGTTTTATCTTTTATTTCCTTGTTTGTGTCGGAATTCGTTGTTTTCGATGGCCGGGGTTTGAATTTCAGTTCAGAACACGACACAAGATTACACATCTATTGTCATTTGAATGCATACCGATATGCCTAAGCTGAAGACTGGTTCATGTTGGAAGGGGTGCAACTCCAATATTTCGTAGGGTTGATATTTTATAATCTAAGCGAGATAACTCGCACACTCGAAGAGGTTTTCCCGAACCACCAACATCTACAGTAGGCAGATTCTTGGGTTGATGAAGAACAACACCTTACCTTTTATCCAATATTAACTATTAATCCCACGCCGAGACTTTGCAAAGCAATACAGAATATGAGTTTAATTTTCTAGGCGATTTTGAAGGGACTTCTGGGTAAAAACCTGTTTAGTAACTGACTGAAAAATATTTAGTTAATTTCTTAACAAATTTCGATCACATTTTCCTAATAAGTATCTGTACTACATCTGTTAATGCAGAATTTAAAGGGAGACATTCTTAAATCTGATGTCCCCTTCAATAATAGGTACAGGTGTATATAGTACTTTTTATCATCCTGTTGACTACTGTATGGAATTACTGAAAAGAAATTGATATAAAATATTGTATTATGAACCCCAGTGATTAACACATACATGTGTCTATACTCTTACGATTTGTATTGTAATTAAAGTCGCTTATACAACATCTCTAAGTGGCAACATAGACACTGCTCGTATAAGTATGTAATTTTTTTTTTTTACATATCTAGAGGTTACCCCGCATCAATATAAATCGGTGTAACCAGATCAGTTGTGTTACCTTGTCTCATTATACAACTATATATCCTATATGAATTCTGGAAACCCTGCATCATTATAAATTGGTGTAACCAGATCAATTTTTTGACCCTCATACTTCCGATAAATCGGAGTTATTCCGTGACTACATATTACATTATAGATAAATAGTGTGACCCCAAACATGGTATGCGACAACTGACTCATATCAAAATCCTCATACCTCCTATATTTAAAATTTTATATTAAGAACGCACAAATATATTTCACAAGTAGGAACAGTTAGTTTCCTATCGGAAAGTTCATTAAAAACATATCAAACCGGTCGGTTTCACGGTATTGGAAGCCGATAATAAAGGACCATTTATTACTAGTATTCAACTCTCTAGATCTTACATCGATAGTCACATCCGTGAGAACGTCTAGAACGCATTAACGATGACGCAGAGGTACGATCATTCAGCTTTAATATTCACTTGTGTTTGTCGTGAACACGAATACATTAAGATTAGTCTCCATAAGTAAGTTTGTGTATTTACATATCTTCAGTTCAAGGAAACATCTATTCAGACGCCTGAAATGGTATCCATGTTATATCCGTGTAGCTGAATCCTCCATTTCATCGTCCCATGGTTATGTAGACATATGCCGTAGTTCTATACATAATTTACAATTCACAAAATATACAGGACAAGTTTTCAGCTATAAGGGTGATTGTTGATGGATGTGACCTTATGATGACCCCGTGTGACCACAGTAATTTTGGTTAACCAATGAGATAGCCAAAGATAACAAATATTAGGTCAAAGCGGTCAAGACTTTATATACAGCACTCCAAATCAACCAGGCAAAATGTCAAGTAAATGAACATTTCCTATTTTGTTCAGCCAAGAAAACTTCAAATTTCAAATGATCAATTATTGTTTCGAAACATCAATTGTGTACTTTGTTACAAAACTTAAAAAAAATCCATCCATCGAAAGAAAATGAATGACTGGTTAACACATACACTGGAAAGAACTGGAACAGATGTTGTCGGCGCCACGCGTTCAATAAACACAACACAGTATTGTTTGGTAATTGGTTTATTCAGATGTTTGAACATTGTAAGCAGTGTAATATCGATAACATTTCACAAATGTATCGTAGAACAGGCCATAGAGAACGTTTGGTTACTAAGCTGTGCAATGGAACCAAGGTCAGGTGTAAGTAACCTTGGTTACCAGGTCATACATAGCAACCTATGTCAGATAATAGAGAAACATTGGTTACCATGCCGTGCAAAGAAACCAAGGTCAGACGACAAAATAATCTTTGTTACAAGGTCATGCATAGCAACCAATGTTAGACAACAGAATAACCTGGATTACCTGGCATTGCAAACGAACCAACCTCAGGTACACAAACAGAGTAGCCTTGTTAACATTTCCATACAAAGGAACTATTGGTCAGGTGACAAAGTAACCTTGATTACCAGGCCATGCATCCAATGACAGGTAACAGGGTAAAGTTGGTTACAAGGCCATGCATAGCAACCCATGTAAGACAACAGAGTAACCTTGATTATGAAACAGTGCAAATGAACCAATGTCAGGAAACAGAGTAAGTTGGTTACTAGGTAGTACATAGCAACCAATGTCAGGTAACACAGCGACCTTTTTTGGTTACCATGCTGTGTAAATCAACTAAGGTCAGGCAACAGAGAAACCTCTATTACCAGATCTTGAATAGCGACCAAGCTGTGCAAAGAAAACTAGGTCATGTAACAGAGTAACCTTTGTTACAAGTACATACAAAGGATTTATAGTCAGGTAACAGAGTAACCTTGGTTACCAGTCCATGCAAAGAAACCATGGTCAGGCAACTGAGAGACTTTTTTACCAGGTTGTGACTAGCAACCAATGTTGGGTAACAGAGCAGCCTTAGTAACCATACTGTGCAAATGAATCAAGATCAAGTAATAGAGTAACTTGGGTTACCAGTTCGTGTAAAGGAACCAAGGTCAGCCATCAGAGTGACGTTGGTTACCTGGCCATGAATAAGAACCATGAACAAGGAACACAATATCCACGAATACATGAACATAAATAGTTACAAATTGAAATAAAATATACATAAACATAATGTATTATATGTAGAATATGTTTATTATTGCACATAAGATGGCTTGTAATATAGAATAAACAGGTATGAGAAAATAGGTGTTGTTTGGTCAGAACTCCTGATGAGCAACGGGATTGTGTACAACAGTATACAGCTATTCTTACTGATAGAAAAGTGACTCTATCTTCACCATTGTATAATGTATATATATGGCCTCTGATGATGCAAAAGGTCCTTGTACACAAACAGTCTCAATGATAAACATCCATTTCTTAATTTCCCTTGAGGGAATAGCAGTATAAACGTAACTCTCAGAGGGACAGTGTGATTAATTCTAATAAACTTATACAATGTTAATAATGACCATCATCTTGTGATGTTAGATCATGAAGTAGGACAGTCAACCATAAACCAGTTAGTATAGAGGATTCTAAACATCTCTACAAACAACATATCTGATTTCCACGAATATTAGTCACAAATGTACACAGAGCTGTTAAGTACTGAGCTCGTATATTCAGTAGGTGTTCTAAAGTAGGTATGGCATGTACACTAGCTGTCTGGTGAAATATGACTAGAACAAATCCCAGCAGTAAATAACGGTACAACAAAACATTTCAGGATGATGTAAATAAATACATGAAAAGATCACTGGATGGGGAGTTTGTTTATAACATGTCAGTTATCTAAAGTCTAATCCATCCATTGTACTAATGCTGGGTAATTGATGCTGTATAAAACACTAAATTTTACATCAGGCTCCAGCATAACAAGTCCAAACTCATCAGTACAATTTTGTAACACAAACAATAGACATTTGATGTACCCCTCAGTAGCTGCAATGGTAAACATCCTGATCCATCCTCTCTTTGTATGTTCTTTAAGCCTGAAATTTGTCCAGTGAGATCATTTTCTGCATCTGAGGACTTGAAATATATTTCTAATTTTTTAATAACATTTTAACATTACCATTCTTTACAATAAAAATGTGTTACTATGGAATTACGGTAAAACATAAATTAACCACAAGAAGTATTGAATTCTCATTAAACAAAATCTTAATAAAAAGGTAATGAAGAAGGGTTAAATGAAACAAACCTTAAACATGTACAATATACGATTATATATATATTCATAAATATATAAGCACAACACAAACATCGTCATAACACAGAAACCACAGTATAAGCTACCAAGGGCACAGCACCTGAAGCACACCTTAAACATAAGCGTGACCAGGCCTAGATGTCACACCTTCAAATATTAGCATGCCGAGACCTAGATGTCACACCTTCAAATATTAGCATGTCACACCTTCAAATGTTAGCATGCCGACCTAGATGTCACACCTTCAAATATTAGCCTAGATGTCACACCTTCAAATGTTAGCATGCCGAGACATGTCACACCTTCAAATGTTAGCATGCCGAGACCTAGATGTCACACCTTCAAATGTTAGCATGCCGAGACCTAGATGTCACACCTTCAAATGTTAGCATGCCGAGACCTAGATGTCACACCTTCAAATATTAGCATGCCGAGACCTAGATGTCACACCTTCAAATGTTAGCATGCCGAGACCTAGATGTCACACCTTCAAATATTAGCATGCCGAGACCTAGATGTCACACCTTCAAATATTAGCATGCCGAGACCTAGATGTCACACCTTCAAATATTAGCATGCCGAGACCTAGATGTCACACCTTCAAATATTAGCATGCCGAGACCTAGATGCCACACCTTCAAATGTTAGCATGCCGAGACCTAGATGTCACACCTTCAAATGTTAGCATGCCGAGACCTAGATGTCACACCTTCAAATGTTAGCATGCCGAGACCTAGATGTCACACCTTCAAATGTTAGCATGCCGAGACCTAGATGTCACACCTTCAAATGTTAGCATGCCGAGGCCTAGATGTCACACCTTCAAATGTAAGCATGCCGAGACCTAGATGTCACACCTTCAAATGTAAGCATGCCGAGGCCTAGATGTCACACCTTCAAATGTTAGCATGCCGAGGCCTAGATGTCACACCTTCAAATGTTAGCATGCCGAGGCCTAGATGTCACACCTTCAAATGTAAGCATGCCGAGGCCTAGATGTCACACCTTCAAATGTTAGCATGCCGAGGCCTAGATGTCACACCTTCAAATGTTAGCATGCCGAGGCCTAGATGTCACACCTTCAAATGTAAGCATGCTGAGGTCTGGACAGAACACTTTCAAATGCTGGGTATTTAAACAATTTGTGCCAATATCCTAGTCTACATTACATAAGAGTTGTAGAATTTTTCATTATCTTATTGTCATTTCAGTTTTGAAATGTGAACACTGTACATCAGTCCCATGTTGACACCAGCTTCACCAAAACTATGGTGAGGATTTCTAGCACTATCAAGTCAAACTCACTGTACAGTGAACAAAAATAGACATCTATAAAAATACACATTTTCAAATGGAACTCTTCACAGAACAAAAATTATTGATGGTAGCACATATCCTTAAAAGCCACAGAGCATAAACAATTATGTTTCTTTAATTTGTTGAACTCTCTACATACCAAATGTCCCAAATTGAATGATAAAAGAACCCTTTCCTATCTAAAAAAAACTTTGTGTAAGTGATAAAAACTTAATTGTATTACGTTGTTTTATTACTTTTAATAAATCATTGAATAACTTTATATAATACATACATGCTACATACATATATCAATATACAGGAGATTTTATCAGACTAAGTGTGACAATTACTGTCTAGAGATATAAATATGGCCTCTCCTTTAGAATAGTTTTACACTGTAGAATTAAGTACATTTACACTTACAATACAGGAACACACATCAGTTATTACAGAATGGATTATTGTCAAAATCATCAAAATATAACAGGTTTATCATCTACACAATAAATGGTTCAATAACACAGGATTACTACTTCTTATTTACAATTGAATTGTTTTTGCCTTTTTATCTACTGTAGAGCATGGGTTCAGTATTATATCTGTAGATAGCCTATCATAATCAGCGATTAGATATCTATCTGTATATTAACATTTAACAGTAAAAACAACATCCAAAGCCATCATACAGAACTAATCTAGTTACAGTCACAGACAGTGACGTCACACTGCGCCTGATTGTAAATAACTACTACTGATTAAATTGCCCAGTTTCTGACGACCTCAGTCACAGCCGAGACAATTTCCAAGTGAGGCTCCAACCCTCACTGACCACCACAACCACAGGTTCTAACGTCTCTATGAGGCTCCAAACATCAATGACCACTGATGACCACAATCACTGACCACTGATGACCACTGATAACCACAATCACTGACCACTGATGACCACAATCACTGACCACTGATAACCACAATCACTGACCACTGATGACCACAATCATTGACCACTGATGACCACAATCACTGACCACTGATAAACACAATCATTGACCACTGATGACCACAATCATTGACCACTGATGACCACAATCACCAGTGGAACACCTTGTTTTGAATCTAACGTCCCAGCAATACTACAAATCTCTGCCTGCTATGTTCTATACAAGCAATGACACTTGTGGAGACTTCCAATGATATAATGAATACAATGCTATGATCATGAACTCCAAGGTGAAATCTCATTACAATGTCATATGATGGTTGGACAATTCTGAGCCAATATATCTACATCCGAGCAAACATTACCACAAACAATACTCAACTATTAAAACTGTACATCATTGTAACATTTGTAATATAATGTCATTACTGTGTAAAAATCTCATACTAAAGTCAGGAATAAAATCACAAGTATACTTACTCCATCATCTCACAATCTACTGTTAGTACCTTTATCATCTCACCAGCCTACTCCTGTTAGTACCTTTATCATCTCACCAGCCTACTCCTGTTAGTACCTTTATCATCTCACAAGTCTACTCCTGTTATTACCTTTATCAGCTAACAAGTCTACTCCTGTTAGTACCTTTATCATCTCACCAGCCTACTCCTGTTAGTACCTTTATCATCTCACCAGCCTACTCCTGTTAGTACCTTTATCATCTCACCAGCCTACTCCTGTTAGTACCTTTATCATCTCACAAGTCTACTCCTGTTAGTACCTTTATCATTTCACCAGCCTACTCCTGTTAGTACCTTTATCATATCACCAGCCTACTCCTGTTAGTACCTTTATCATCTCACCAGCCTACCCCTGTTAGTACCTTTATCATCTCACCAGCCTACTCCTGTTAGTACCTTTATCATATCACCAGCCTACTCCTGTACCTCTATGGTCTCAAAAGCTTACTTCTGTTGGTACCTCCATCCCTTACAAGTCTACTCACAGACATCATCTCTACCATCCTTTTTATACTGTTCTTACTACATACATATCAGTCCACAAATGTTTGGTTGTACTAGAAATAATGTTGTTGGATGTCCTGGTACTTAAATATGAATGATGGCAAAGCCATGTGAAGTGAGTCTAGTATTATCTGATAAGCATATTACAACCCTTTTCATAGGTGAAAAAAAATAGGAACTAAAAGGCAGTTGTGAATTGTGTTGTTCCTGTAACTGGGGAGAGAGGTTCTGAATGACAGGTTACTCTATCCACAGTTCACACAAAGCACTTTTGGGACTTTCCCTTTTGGTGTCACAACTTTTTAACTGAGTGAATCAATCTTTTTTGTTCACACGTAACACCTTTAGGGTTCACTTTTGTTGCCTACAAGTATGATTATTAATTTAACAAAGTAAACTTGATTTCCGTGCTGTTTTAACAATGAGGCTATGCTAATGAGAGGGACACAAAATTGGGAACAGATTAATCACCATGCATTTATAATAAACAGCTATTGGGATGATAGAGTTAGGTGATTGTAATTACCAACAGGGACACTGGGATAGTACAGTATGGTGATTATAATTACCAACAGGGACACTGGGATAGTACAGTATGGTGATTATAATTACCAACAGGGACACTGGGATAGTACAGTGAGGTGATTATAAATACCAACAGCAACACTGGGATAGTACAGTATGGTGATTATTATTACCAACAGCAACACTGGGATAGTACATTGAGGTGATTATAATTACCAACTGGGACACTGAGATGATATAGGTAATGTATGGAAGTTGACATCCTCCTGCAATCTCCATACATATATCAAAAATGTATAATCTCAATGAAAATATTTCTTTGTACTAAACTTTGAAGTCAGTGCACATGTGCTATTTTCCTAAAGCTGGTGTGGAATACAGACACAAAATTGATCTGTATGTCCTTACAAAATAATTATCACATTCCTAATTGTTACAAATTCTTCATTAAAAATAAATTTTGCAAAGAAAAATAATGTTGACTCTGAAATGCACACATACATTTGTATGTACAATACTGTAAACAAACTTGCTCCACAATAAAAACATTTTGAAGACTTAATATTAAGGTTTTACAAAACATACTTATATATCTGACTTTTTATAGATGGTTCTGAACAGAAACAAGTATATATGGATGCATAGTAATGCAGTCAAAATGATCTTAACTTAGGGAATCAGCTTTGGAAGAAAAGATGTGTACAATTTATAACATGTTTGGACTACACAACATACAGTAGCCACACATTACACATGGTACCAAACGACCACATCTGAGTTTCCATAAATACATGTTACCTCCTTTGACCTTATTTTTCTTTTCTTTGTCGTTCTTCTGTGAATTATTTTTTCCCACGTTCTTTCCATCCAATGAGGTAATTATACCATGACATCTAGAAACTTCATGTTTATCTATCCTCGTAACAATTTCTGAATAGTTTCTATTTTCTAGTTGGCATCATTTCACACAAGATTCATTTTGGATGGTGGAATCAAATGTTTCGGAAGTGTTGCAGGTAAATCACTTCCATCTAATTTTACCTTTACTAAGTGATTAGCTAAAGCCCATTCATCCATATCTAACATCCCATCCTTGTCAATGTCTGACAACTTCCAGATCTTCCCCAACACTGAATTTGGCAGCTTGGATTTCACCAACTCTGATTTGGCAGAAGCACCACTGATCTTACCATCTACAGGATTGAGCTTTTCAAACACTTCATCATATTTGTATTTCTCCTGGTTGACAACCCATTCATGATCACCGCGACCCTCGTCAATACCCTCTCCCCGTCCATATCCAAACACGCTCTCGCTCATGGTCTCGAAGGCTCCACCCTGTACCCCAGGACCTTGCTGGGCACTGGCTGCCTCCTCCATGGGAATCATTTGCATGAGACGAGCAATGTCTTGGGCGAGCATCTGATCGACTACTTCGAGAAGTTTTGGTTTAATGACATGGAACTTGGTAAAATCATGATGTTGAAGCTGCTCCTGCATCCTTGTCAGACTGGGGAAGTCTCCAGGCGAGATTTGGTGCTCCCTCTGTAGCGCTGCGTAGGTCTCTCCTAAACCCTTAATCAAGTCCTTCTTTTTGGTGTCCTTCCCAAACATGGAGGGCATCTCCTTCTTCAGGTGACTGATGATATAAGCGTGTACCTGTCAAATACATAAAAAACATTAATGAATACTGTCTTCAATGAAAACGAGAATCTTGGATGATATCATGACTTATACATGTACGTTTATGTATATGCTTATGTAATTACATAGACAAGTCGATAGGCAATCAATCACTTGTACATATGTATATACAAATAGCAATCAAAAGTCCAGTATAGTTGTCTAGAAAAATAACTGCTGCATATACCAAGTTATTTCCTGAATTTCAATGAATGTTAAATACCCCGTTTTAGATGACAAATTTAAAAAATGAATAATCAATATCAAATATTTACATTTAGGCATGATCAGAATGAGATATCAGTTCAGTACAGATACATATCAGAAGCTGTTTATCTTAAACACAAATAGACTTGAAAACTGTATTTTGCGAGCTTCTCAAAACATCTGTTGCCTTTATTTAACAATGAGTGCAAATGGCAATGTTCTGATAACAGTCCACCATTCAAAGAATGGACAAGAATATGAGTGCAGTAAGTTGTAGAATTGTCTTGATAAATTTAGGACCCAATAGCATTTTATACAGCAATCAGGTTGTTTCAGTCAAAATGTGTAGGGCTATAATTAAGCTGAAGTATTGTTCAGTACACTGTGTAGAGCAGTAATTAAGACAATATACTGTTTCATAAATTTACTGTGTAGGACAGTAACCAGGAATACAGTTTCAGTACATTGTGTAGGGCAGTAACCAGGAATACAGTTTCAGTACATTGTGTAGGGAAGTAGACAGAGATAATGTTTCAGAGACACTATGTAGGGAAGTAATTAAGCTGAGTAACTGTTTCAGTACACTGTGTAGGGTAGTAAGTGGAGATACTGTTTCAGTACACTGTGTAGGGCAGTAAGCAGTGATACTGTTTCAGTACACGGTGTAGGACAGTATGTGGAGATACTGTTTCAGTACACTGTGTAGGACAGTAAGTGGAGATACTGTTTCAGTACACTGTGTAGGACAGTAAGCAGTGATACTGTTTCAGTACACTGTGTAGGACAGTAAGTGGAGATACTGTTTCAGTACACTGTGTAGGGTAGTAAGTGGAGATACTGTTTCAGTACACTGTGTAGGGCATTAAGCAGAGATACTGTTTCAGTACACGGTGTAGGACAGTATGTGGAGATACTGTTTCAGTACACTGTGTAGGACAGTAAGTGGAGATACTGTTTCAGTACACTGTGTAGGACAGTAAGTGGAGATACTGTTTCAGTACACGGTGTAGGGCAGTAAGTGGAGATACTGTTTCAGTACACGGTGTAGGACAGTAAGTGGAGATACTGTTTCAGTACACTGTGTAGGGCAGTAAGTGGAGATACTGTTTCAGTACACTGTGTAGGACAGTAAGTGGAGATACTGTTTCAGTACACTGTGTAGGACAGTAAGTGGAGATACTGTTTCAGTACACTGTGTAGGACAGTAAGTGGAGATACTGTTTCAGTACACTGTGTAGGACAGTAAGTGGAGATACTGTTTCAGTACACGGTGTAGGACAGTAAGTGGAGATACTGTTTCAGTACACTGTGTAGGGCAGTAAGTGGAGATACTGTTTCAGTACACTGTGTAGGACAGTAAGTGGAGATACTGTTTCAGTACACTGTGTAGGACAGTAAGTGGAGATACTGTTTCAGTACACTGTGTAGGACAGTAAGTGGAGATACTGTTTCAGTACACTGTGTAGGACAGTAAGTGGAGATACTGTTTCAGTAAGTGGAGATACTGTTTCAGTACACGGTGTAGGGTAGTAAGTGGAGATACTGTTTCAGTACACTGTGTAGGACAGTAAGTGGAGATACTGTTTCAGTACACTGTGTAGGACAGTAAGTGGAGATACTGTTTCAGTACACTGTGTAGGACAGTAAGTGGAGATACTGTTTCAGTACACTGTGTAGGGCAGTAAGCAGTGATACTGTTTCAGTACACGGTGTAGGACAGTAAGCAGTGATACTGTTTCAGTACACGGTGTAGGACAGTTAGTGGAGATACTGTTTCAGTACACTGTGTAGGACAGTAAGTGGAGATACTGTTTCAGTACACTGTGTAGGGTAGTAAGCAGTGATACTGTTTCAGTACACGGTGTAGGACAGTAAGCAGTGATACTGTTTCAGTACACTGTGTAGGACAGTAAGTGGAGATACTGTTTCAGTACACTGTGTAGGACAGTAAGTGGAGATACTGTTTCAGTACACGGTGTAGGGCAGTAAGTGGAGATACTGTTTCAGTACACGGTGTAGGGCAGTAAGCAGTGATACTGTTTCAGATGTATACCTAACACAGTTTGTATATAAATGTAGACTTAATTAATTAGCATTGATTTGTTTGTTAATTCGGTTTGAATTATCATAATTTTTTCATTAATCCAACACCACAATTAAAAAGATTCTAGCTTTAGAACAGGTGAGCTGTAATAATGTAGTTAGCTGACAAAGTTATTCGACCAGTGGTATAAACACTAATGTCTATCTCCGAACCAACCTCAACTCCTCTTTATGTACAATATATCTAGACTACCACAAACACTAAACACTATAAGTATCACCATGGTTACCTCAGAATCAGATCAGTAGTTTTAGGAAAAACTATCTCAGAGCTCCCTGGAAACACTACCCAATGTCTTCAGACTACCATATACAGTATCTGGGCAGTTGTTTTAGGTAAAACAGTCTCTGAACCCACTGAAAACATTAACCAATGTCTCCAGACTACCATACACAGTATCTGGGCAGTTGTTTTAGGTAAAACAGTCTCTGAACCCACTGAAAACATTAACCAATGTCTCCAGACTACCATACACAGTATCTGGGCAGTTGTTTTAGGTAAAACAGTCTCTGAACCCACTGAAAACATTAACCAATGTCTCCAGGCTACCATACACAGTATCTGGGCAGTTGTTTTAGGTAAAACAGTCTCTGAACCCACTGAAAACATTAACCAATGTCTCCAGACTATCATACACAGTATCTGGTAGTAGTTTAAGGTCACTGAAACACTAATCAATGTCTCTAGACTTTTAGATTATACAAATATAGTATCCATGGTTACCACTGTAATGTTACATGTGATGTTTTAGGAATCCAATACACTACACAAACTAGCTACTTCAAGTGTAAAATGTTACATGTAGTATACCAAATAACAAGCATATATATAACAGTCTGGTAATGGGCTACTGCAGTTACAACTTCCCACCTCTATCAAAACGGAACTTCAGATCTCCAACATAAGCAATCTCAGATTTAGGATAAAACTCATTTTCTTCAGAACTTCATTACAGCAAATCAAATAAGTTATTCTCTTAGAAGATAAGTACTACTGACACATCAGAAAGGTCCCCACAATGTTAGGATTACAGTACTACTGACACATCAGAAAAGTCCCCACAATGTTAGGATTAAAGTACCACTGACACATCAGACAGGTCCCCACAATGTTAGGATTAAAGTACTACTGACACATCAGACAGGTCCCCACAATGTTAGGATTAAAGTACTACTGACACATCAGACAGGTCCCCACAATGTTAGGATTACAGTACTACTGACACATCAGAAAGGTCCCCACAATGTTAGGATTACAGTACTACTGACACATCAGAAAGGTCCCCACAATGTTAGGATTACAGTACTACTGAGACACCAGAAAGGTCCCCACAATGTTAGGATTACAGTATTACTGACACATCAGACAGGTCCCCACAATGTTAGGATTAAAGTACCACTGACACATCAGACAGGTCCCCACAATGTTAGGATTACAGTATTACTGACACATCAGACAGGTCCCCACAATGTTAGGATTAAAGTACCACTGACACATCAGACAGGTCCCCACAATGTTAGGATTACAGTATTACTGACACATCAGACAGGTCCCCACAATGTTAGGATTACAGTACTACTGACACATCAGAAAGGTCCCCACAATGTTAGGATTACAGTATTACTGACACATCAGACTGGTCCCCACAATGTTAGGATTACAGTACTACTGACACATCAGAAAGGTCCCTACAATGTTAGGATTACAGTATTACTGACACATCAGACAGGTCCCCACAATGTTAGGATTACAGTACTACTGACACATCAGAAAGGTCCCCACAATGTTAGGATTACAGTATTACTGACACATCAGACAGGTCCCCACAATGTTAGGATTACAGTATTACTGACCAAAGCTGTTGCTGTAATAGTCCTAATTTACGTATAACTTCTTCAAGTTGAGTATGATTGCTAACAGATAAGCAACACAGGCTTGTTCCTATAGATACAAATGATTGCTCTACCCTGCCCCGCCGCACCCCTCACCCCAAGCATAAATCATTGTAATGTTGGCCCTTGGCAGATAATGATCATTACACAAGTAAACCACTATATGTAATGACACACCTGTGATTGCTGTGGGAGTTTTACCTGGACACCAATGAAGGTGTAAGTGGACAGGTGTACACACATTATACCCTTATGATCCTCTCGCCTTACAAGTTGACAGATACATTAGGACACATAACAGGACCATCGTAACATGTCAGCTATTGCACTTACAACTTACAAATCTAGGTATCAAATTTTCTATGTGTGAGTCAAATTTGTGAATAGAGTAAGTGTACTGTAGTAGCTTTTCAGCTTTTTCTAAGTAAACACCAGTGGTGACAATCAGTAAAGCTTGAAATTAGGATTAGGTTACCCATTGTGTCTACTTAAGGATGTTATGTTTGGTGTAGATGAAATAAACCTGAAGCTAAAGGGTGCATATATTTACAAATATAGATGAATATAGTGTTGAGATTTGGATGTTTGTCACTGTTGTGTGGGTAAAGCATGGAGAATGTGATTTGTCAGTTGGAGGGGCCAAATCAAATAAGGCTGCATGCAGAGCATCTGACTGTACAATCTCGAGTGAAGATCTAAAGTGTGTGATTCGATTCCTTCCTGAGGGGGATTTGCATTGCAAAGAAAACCAACATCCCATACTGCTTTGTTGCAGTTGTGACCTTAATCAAAACAATTTATCCTGTTTGCCTATATAGAATACATAAGGCCTCCAGCATGCTGTTCAGTGAAGTAATCACTAGGTACTGCAAAGAGACCCCACATCAAAAAGACATGGGTTACATAAAGGGTGTTAAACCCAGTAATAGAGAAAAAACAGTGATAATAACAGGTGCCCAAGATTAATATACATCAGTGTGGACATGGGAAATCATGAATAGGCATGTGTCAGATATATTTCACTTGAAAATTCCTGAGTTTGTCATTGCTGTAAACTAAATGTAAAGGTTCCAAGGGTTAATCAGAGTGGTGACAAAGTGGTGACAAAGTGGTGACAGGGCGGAGATTGGGGTCCATCAGAGTGGTGACAGAGCGGAGATTGGGGTCCATCAGAGTGGTGACAGAGCGGAGATTGGGGTCCATCAGAGTGATGACAGAGTGGAGATTGGAGTCCATCAGAGTGGTGACAGAGTGGAGATTGGGGTCCATCAGAGTGGTGACAGAGTGGAGATTGGGGTCCATCAGAGTGGTGACAGAGTGGAGATTGGGGTCCATCAGAGTGGTGACAGAGCGGAGATTGGGGTCCACCAAAGTTGTGACACAGTTGAGATTGGGGTCCATCAGAGTGGTGACAGAGTGGAGATTAGCATCCATCAGAGTGGTGACAGAGTGGAGATTAGTGTCCATCAGAGTGGTGACAAAGTGGAGATTAGTGTCCATCAGAGTGGTGACAGAGCGGAGATTAGTGTCCATCAGAGTGGTGACAAAGTGGAGATTAGTGTCCATCAGAGTGATGACAGAGTGGAGATTGGGGTCCATCAGAGTGGTGACAGAGCGGAGATTAGTGTCCATCAGAGTGGTGACAAAGTGGAGATTAGTGTCCATCAGAGTGATAGGTTGAGACTCATGTACACATAGATAATAAGTTTTGTCACGGGTTAGTATTTTAACATTTTCTGCATGGTTTGGTGCCAAATATTGCATAAAAAACCGGGTGAGTATTCATTCTCATGCTTTTTCTGTGTATTTTGTTCTTTTACATATATACTCCATATTTCTGTATTTCTTTTGGTTTTTGCTGTTTACAGTGTTCATACATTGTACAGGTAGACTAGGCTAGGTACAGGTACACTTTAATCATGCCTATCATGTTTATGTGTACATTTCATGAACACCTTAGAAATTTTGTGTATATATAATATGTATTCCTAAAGTCGTGTACCTACAGTTTGTAATAGTAAATAATTTTATACAGTGTTTTTCGCAAAAATGGAAACCTTGGATATAATATACAAATTATCTAGATTCATTGTATATAATCATTAGTGTTCTTACATTAAAAGTATGTAGTGTAAGTCTACAAGATCTGTTTATTGGTGTGTATTTTGTGTAAATGAATTGTAAAATACATGTAGGTGATTATCTCCCTTGGATGTTGGAGTGTTATCACTGTTCTTCCATACTACAGTATGGCCCTATGGGTATAGATGAAAGACTGAAAATGAGGGAAACTGATAGTGAGGTTGCAAGGTAAAGATAATGACATGGAAAACAATGTATACCGATTTTTTTAGGATTTTTTAGGCAAGTCCAAAACACTAATTCAAAACTCTTGATGAGTCAGAATTCTAAAAAATACGGTAATGTATAGTTGGTTCCCAAAATCTGTGCAAATCCCAAAAGAAAAGCACGAGTCCAGGACACATATATCTGAGTTTCAAAAATCATTGATGTAGATGGTAGTTTGGATATAAGGATAGCAACAGGAAAGGAGCTAACTTACACAGGCACTACATACACAAAAATTAAATCATATTTAATAAACTAAACCTTTTTCATTACCATCAGTTATATATAAATTCCTGGGCTTCACGACACATATATAAGATTCCAGGAATATTTATTTAGTCTACATCATCACATGTATACTTTCTGAATCTCAGACAGCTGAAGTGTACTACAACAGCTTGTGTAGCACATGAGTGCAAGTTTTCACAGTAATCTGATACAGGGCAGGGCATCTTTTAGCAGACATTTGCTTTTTATCAGCTTGGCAAAACACAAGTACATGTAAAAATGTTGTTTTCACGGTACTCACTTAAACAAGTGTATACAAGACAAATTTGTTTATCATACAAATGTACATGACAAGATGTAAAGAGGACTATGCATTATTTAATAAAATATCAAATGTCTGATCATAGTTCATGAAAATGAGGAAGTAATTATATAAATACTATATAACTGTAAATGTTAGTTAATTGTTATTATGTGCAGAAGTGTTATCCTCTTCCCTAATAATAATAAGTTAACTTCCCTACATAAACAAATTTGTTCTAGTTTTTTCCAGTCAGAACTTGGTTCAGTACAGTATCTGACACCATAGTGTATTATACCTGACAGTACGTATGCCTGAAATATACAAGATTGTATATATGGTCTTTCAAGTAATGGAAGCTGATTTTCTTGATATCATGATCATATGGCATTTCTCAAGATGTCTTAGCAGCTTATTTTCTAGAATTAAAACACATTTCAGGGTATATCATACATGTTTTCTGTAATTTTTTTGTCTAGGTGGAGTTCTATTATATATGTTGTCTATGACTCAAGTTGTTTACTTGATATCTGCAATTTTTTTAATTTTTTTTATCTCAGTTTTGTGTATATAGCATTGGCCAAACGATGGCAATCACAGAAAATAAATCAATGCTGGAAATGAATCCAATAACTGTTACTGGCAGAGTTCTGGAATTATTCTGATAACTCAGAATATTAAGTTGCCTAGCTTAAGACCACTCCTTGATAGAAAAAACTTCTAACTTAATCTTTGTTAAAAATGTGTTAAAATGACTGTCATTGAATTAAGAATATGATTAAGTTCTATATCACAAAACTCAAAAGATTAATTCAAATTGACAATATAATATATAAATAGACAATATTATATATGTCCTATTCTGAATTATAACCAATTCATGCAAGTCCAAATGGAGTTTCCTGAACAGTGAACAGAGATGAGGACTCCTCTTCACTGACAAGAAGGAATTCCAAATAGATCTCTCTTTTTGTCCGAGATTCAGTGATTTTTGGGACTCAGACATTTATGTCCTGAACTAGTACTTTTCCTTGTGGGACTTAAATTCTGAAATCCCACTATATCTCTTAGTGTTGTGATTCAGCAAAACTTTGGAATTGTTGTTTTCATGGACTTGGCATAAAAACTCTTCAATGATTAATTCTCTTTTCTTGTAAAATTACAGATTTATATCTGTGGCCACATCATCAAAGTTTTCATTATAAAGTTAACATTTAAAATGGGACAGGGAAAATATTTCTATAAGACAAATACAGTATTAACACTTATTAGAACCAAGGTAAGGGTATTTCCCTTGCCAAGCATACAAATTAATTTATAGTTTAATTAAGATTTGTTCACAGGTGCCAATGTGTGACAGAAACATTTGGATACCCATCCAAATCAAGCAACTGATTGAATGTTGGGTCTCTTAATTCAAAAGATGCGTGTGACTCAACCAAAAAAGCCAATTAAAGAATGTTGTCAATCAAGAAACATAGCAGATCATGACCGTATCTGATTATATAAAGTCACAATTGACACCTGCGACTTTGCAACTTTGGCAAGAGAGGAAGTAGTCAAGGAAAGATTAAAATGCAAAGTCTAGAGGCAGACTGGAGGCTCTCATATACTGTACTTGCATGGTTATCAGCAGACATGTGCATGTACATATATAGTTAACCAAGCTTCCTTACCTTTATATTTTGTTTCGATCTGTCATAAGGCTAATACATTTTAAAAATTTAGATCATGCTTTTTCAGTTTTGCCCCCAAAATAATCATTTACTTAACATTTAGATAGAATAGATTATATACCTTTGCCAATCTGGCTCTCTTGATGAGATCGTTCAGTTTTCTTAAGGCAGCATATCTTGGCAGGCTTTGGATATCATTGAAAAGGTCTAGTTCTTCTAACTCAAACAATTTACGATTCATGTCAAAATGAAGAGGCTGATCCCAGAATGAACCAATGTACACTCGTGCAACTTCTGGGGTGCCAAGGACTTTACCCAGGGACCACATTAGTGCTCCATACACTCTCATCAGCTGTTGATGGTCTATCATGTCAGCTTTGTTCAGAACAATGCGTATCTTATCATCGTACCCTTTAATTGCATCAATAGCACGTCGAAATTCATCAGAAATGTCAAGTTTGTGTGCGTCGAACAATAAAATTATCCTGTCAACTCGCTCTGCAAACCATTCCAGTACACCAGCGAAGTCGTAACCTCTATCTACTCTATGTTTCTCTCCCGAGAGTATACCAGGTGAATCAACGATTGTGATGCTCTTCACTACTGGGTTATTTAACGAAGAACATTGAAATCTGTTAAGAAATGCATTTCCGAACTTTGACAGCGGTCGGAATTGTTTCTTCGGGTCGACAACAAGGGCATTTCCTGGAATTATCCCATCTTGGGATCCGTGCATAACAGTAATAAACCGGTCTGTTGTTGGTTCGGGGCCGATCCGAATTCCGGGGAAGTCTTGTTCCAGAAGGTACCTGATGAAAGTGGTTTTACCTGTGGAATACTGACCGATGAGGAGAACCATCGGTTTAGCATCAAAATCGGGGTCATCCAGCTGTGGGGAGTGAAAATCATGGAATTTATAATGTTCTTCAAGTGGTAGTAGTTTTTGTCGATATAATTTCTTTAAACCCTCAGTTACGGTTTCATAAACTTCTGGTTCCTTGCACCTCTTATCATCTCCTGAAAGCCACCGCTTCATCTTGATTTGTTCGTCTTGTCGTATAAAGTTAAATGTACTAGCATCACCACCCTTCCTGACACTGACACACCGTTGGGTTGGCCGGAAGGTCGCACGAGTATCGCACAATGCGCATGTATTTTACAAATAGGAAGTAGAATTCATTTCCCGCGGAATTTCGGAAACTCTCTGATTTCTTCCGTTCCAAATGTAGGGCAAAATCTGAGAAATATTTATTTCCCCACGTGACATAAACGTCACGGTATGTTTTGGTTCCTGCCAGCTGACACCCAGGAAACTGGAACATTGAAGAAAAAGATTTGGATCCTAGATTTCTGAGCAGTTTGCATGAAAAGGACGAACTTCGTCACATTCTTTGATATTCCTGCTACACCGTTGATTGAAAAATACTTGACGAAGTCGTCAGATTAGACAGGGATTCATTGAGGTGGGCAATGCTGTATGATGAGGTCATTACTTGGTGTGGTTCACCCAGGCTGCCTATTACTCACCATACACAATAACATACTTATGCTAATGTATGAGATCATGTGTATGTTTACCTTTGTTTGTATTTCCACAACATAAATTGTACATACTACAGCGTAACACGCTACATTCACGTGACATGTTGTGTTCATATTTTGATATGACAACCCTTGCGTGGCAACTGTGACTAGATATCATGACCATACATGTACATGCACGTGTTATAATTAGATATACATGTGAGAGTCATGTGACGGCGATAGCGCTCTTTCTTCATCTGATTATATTGTTTTATATTGATTATGTGAAATGTCTTTTCAACTTATAGATTACCCCTGGTAGTGTCAGTTGTTAAATCACAGCTACATGTACATATTGTTCATGTAACTATTGATTATGAGCATGTGTATATATAATGAGTTTGGTAGTCCTGGAAAGAGCGAAGTTTACACGCAACAATGACATTCTCTGCTGAAAGAAGCAAGAAAATAAAACACCTGTAAATTTTGCTTAACTGATTAGTGCTTCAATAAATGAAGAAAATTTGGCGCACTGCACAGAATAATTAATCATGCAATTATATAATTATGGCATTGACAATTTGTGTGCTTGTTTATATGTTGTCATGATATTAGCTTGTGTTATATGCCGAATACAAATGAAGAATTTTCATTCATGCCAATTTCATTTGTGTAAAATCATCTTTATGTTTAGTAATAATTAATGGTAAGTCAAACAAATCCAGGAAAATGAAAATGCTGTCATAAGATTTTGTTTAACACTATAAAGTTAGCTATGAGTCAAGAACACCTATGCTGCATGACTTTCACTTCCGAAAGAATTTTTCGTGTGTGGATCTAGTCCTGGGACCATTGTCCTAGATGTGAACGAAATGAGGTCTTACACATGTAACCGGTATGGAGCTTTGAGGGGGTGCATTGGCACCACAAGAGCTTCACTATTGTTAATTGCCTGAAAATGACTGTAGGCCTCAAAATATTAGTGAAATGACATTTTCCCTATTGAATTAAAAATTTTCAATTACATATATTAACTGTTTTCTTTTTGTCACCTTTTCGACAGGAAAAAAGAAATTTAATGGTAAATTAAATAATTTACTTGTGATGAAATGTAATATAGATGTGAAAATGTATGACACTAATGTGCTCATGACATTGTGTATTGCTGACATGATCTTAACAGAAGGAATTTTAGTTAAACTCAATCACTTGATCACAAGAGTAAATAAAACATTAGATTTTCCGTTAGATGTATTTTATCAAAAATGAAATAAGCTTTACAGGATCTCTAACACAAGCATGTTAGCACATAGAATTTTTCTCTCCGAGAGACAAGATGATAACTGTGTTAAAGAACATCTTTTGCTTTCATTGTTTTAACAAACATAGAATGAGTTAAACTCTAATTTGAGAAGTGATCGTCATTGAGGATGCGTTTATCAGTTGACTTGTTACTAGCTAATGATTAACAACTAGCTTTATGGGATTTCTTGCCAGTAGAGGATTGATCATTGGTACATACATGTATAGCCAGGTTTGAATTCCTAGTGGAGGTATATGGCAATATACATATACACTCTAAAGGTCTTGGGATGTGGATACAGATATTCAAACACTGGTCAAGCTGTATTTTATACTGCTATAAGCCAAGTGGCAAAAATACAAATTCTGATTTAAATTACGGGTTGGACTGAATGCAAGAGGATGGAATAGCATTTGTTTGTGATGATGGATTTGTGAGAGGCCTTGTTACCAAGCATTGGCTTCTTACTGATACACAAATATCATCATTAAGTATAAATATAGCTTATTCTTGTAAAAATTGCATTGATTTTATTTTCCTTATTCAGAGAAAAGAGAAAATGGGGCGTATCTTCCTGAGACACATAGGAGGAACACGCCTATTTTCTTGTGCTAGCTGTGACACATCCCTTACCAACAGGGCCGAACTGATATCCACACGGTTTACAGGTAGGTATAGGTTAAATGCATCCACTGACACACCTATCAACAAAAAAAAAAAAACGGGCCAGAACTTGTATTTACACAGTTTACAGGTAGGAACAGGTAAAAAGTAAACACTAACACTCTTGGCAACAACAACAGGGCCAAACTAATATCTACTCAGTTTACAGGTAGGAACAGGTAAAAAGTAAACACTAACACTCTTGGCAACAACAACAGGGCCAAACTAATATCTACTCAGTTTACAGGTAGGTACAGGTAAAAAGTAAACACTAACACTCTTGGCAACAACAACAGGGCCAAACTAATATCTACTCAGTTTACAGGTAGGTACAGGTAAAAAGTAAACACTAACACTCTTGGCAACAACAACAGGGCCAAACTAACATCTACTCAGTTTACAGGTAGGTACAGGTAAAAGTATATACTGCCACACCTGTCAACAACAACAGGACTAAACTTAAAACTATGCAGTTCGCAAGCACTTACAGGTAAAAAGTATACATGTGACACAGGACCAAATTTTTTGTATTCCGGTTATGTTTCTTGCTCCTCAACATGCATTACAAGATGAGCCTTTCTGTATAACATACTTTCTCCTCTGTAGGTGATATGGGACAAAACTTTTATAATTTTTTTCTCCTCTACAGGTGCTACTGGAAGAGCCTTTCTGTTTAACAAGGTAGTGAATCTCAACTATAGTGAGGTACAGGACCGGGTGATGCTAACCGGAAGACACATGGTCCGTGACGTATCCTGCAAGAACTGTGATGCCAAGCTGGGATGGGTTTATGAATTTGCCACAGAGGACAACCAACGCTACAAAGAAGGTCGGGTCATTCTGGAACGTGCTCTTGTCACAGAGAGTGAGGGATTTGAGGAGCATGTCGGACATGATAGTTGAACTTTTTCATCCTTCAATGTCTGTAAATAACTAATGTCTGTGAGATAGCATACACAGCACCAATCCAGGGGATAACGATGCATGTTCGAATCCATGATTTTTGATTGGCCATTTCCATTCAGTTGTCTTGGCGATGTTTTGCACCTGTCATGGTATGGACACCCCTCATTGATTGGTTGGTAGATATGTACAGCTGTACATATAAATCACACCCATTACTACTGCTTGTACAGGTCCCAATGTCACAGTTAGCTTCACAAAGTCAGTGAAGGTCAGCATTGCTGTCACTCAGGAGGTTGAAGATAGCCCATTGTGTTTTTGGGCTGTTTAATTTCAGGAGGAAGAAGTTATTTATAAAATGTTACATTTTTGTTGGAGAGATACAAGTTGTGATCAGGATTTCAAGCTTTGCATGTATTAGTGTTTAACACAGTTTTTTAGAGGTGATATGGTACTCTGTCATTCTGTTATATATCTTTCATTATTATTTTTTTAGTAATTCTTGCAGACCATGTCAATCACAGGTTCAGTCGTGAAATGTTGACATTGAAAAACACTTGTCTTGTTTTATCAAGCTTGCACTAGAAGAAAATCTTACAATGGAATGCAATGTACTTGGCAATTAAAGCTGTTTTATTTGATTTATTTGCTAAAGCAGACCAGCTTAACTCCAAAATTGGTTGAACTGTTTCGCATTTTACAAACTCAATAAAGGAGCACACGTTAGATTTTACTACAAGTAGTTTTATTGGATTTAGGAAACTGAAAAACTTCCTTTGAACAGTCATAGAACAGTGTTTTTTTTCCCCTTTGATAAAAAAACCATGTGTATGGTAATTATTACCAATATAGTTATTGTATGATTGTTCTATAAAATGATAGGATTTTTTTTTTTTATATATGTAAATAGTCTTTCCATTTTAACTTTAAAAGCTGGGTGTAATTTCCATAAGTAAATATTGAACCTGAGCCTCTTAAGGTACATGTATTAAACCAACATTAAACGCAAGGATTGGACAACATTTTTTGAAAACTGAATTTTCTGGAATTATGAATAACTGATAATTTCTTTATAGAAATGGATTTTGTTTTCACATTTAGAAATCAGTTGAAATTTGATATTTAAACTAAAAGGAAAACACAGAAAATGAAAATAAGATCTTGAATGTAGCTGTAATCTACTGTCTTAAAGGACCTCTGTTTGACTGTTTTGTATTTATTCTATGCTTCTTTGGTGTTTATGCCTTTGATATCAATGGATAATAATTTAATCAGAGGATTTTTTTTTGTGTTAAGTGTTATTTATATGTATGGAACTTGCATTTTAAAAATCTGACATACTTTATGGTAAAAAGTTGGTACCAAGTTTAACTGCAGTATTCTCTCTACAATTTTTATGTAAAAGACACCAATCTTGAGAACTTTAACTGCAGGACACCAATGTTAAATAAGCACATCTTACTTGATTGTAATACTACATCGAAACAGCAGGTTCGGCCTTGTTTTAAAGAAAAATCAGAGTAGATTTTATGTAAAATATCACACATGGTTTTAATGACTGTAACTTCCTGGGTCTTACCTACAACAGGGGAAAGCCTGCATATCTAAAATAGATACTTGTTCAGCCTGATAAAGAAATAAATCGATACAACCAGCATTGTCAGATTGTGATTGCCTATACCACTCATGTTATAGGAGTATACATAAAGGGTATACATTATGCACCAATCACAATCTGGTCAAAATGAACAAGGAGATTTTCCTTGGCATGTAAAACTGTAAACAATCACCTCTGCTAATACTGATGGAATAATTTGGTGAATATTTATTTTTTTAGATGTGTCTAAAAAACTCAATTATTTTTTTATCTACAAATTAAAAAACAAGCCGCCTTTAATTTTTGTTTTCTCACTTATATATATAAAAACCCAGGTAAATAGCATGTTATGATGTATGAAATTATATAGCAAGGTTTATACAGGAAATAACAGTATATGATCAATCATATTTAAGAATAACAATGATAGTCTGCTTTGAAATTGATCAAGGAATACTTTAAAAATTGTACACATGTCATAATATCTGACTCAATTGTACCTTATCACTGAATATTTTGATTTCATAACTGAAATAATTAGTACTGCCATTAAAATCTTTGATTAAAATAAATCTTTGTCAGCCTTTTGAAATATTTTGTATGCATAGTGACTAGTAGAAAGTTATATTCATGTATAAAAATAAATATACTCCGACACATTTTCTTGTGCACAGCAAAATGTAGTGTTACATAGGACCACTATGTAATACTGACCAATGACACATAGGACCACTATGTAATACTGACCAATGACACATAGGACTACTATGTAATACTGACCAATGCCACATTGACCACTATGTATTATTGACCAATGACACATAGGACCACTCTGTAATACTATCCAATGACACATAGGACCACTATGTAATACTGACCAATGACACATAGGACCACTATGTAATACTGACCAATGTTACATAGGACCACTATGTAATACTGACCAATGACACATAGGACCACTATGTAATACTATCCAATGACACATAGGACCACTATGTGATACTGACCAATGTTACATAGGACCACTATGTAATACTGACCAATGACACATAGGACCACTATGTAATACTGACCTGTGACACATAGGACCACTATGTAATACTGACCAATGCCACATAGGACCACTATGTAATACTGACCAATGACACATAGGACCACTATGTAATACTGACCAATGCCACATAGGACCACTATGTAATACTGACCAATGACACATAGGACCACTATGTAATACTGACCAATGTTACATAGGACCACAATGTAATACTGACCAATGACACATAGGACCACTATTTAATACAAACAAGTTTAATATAGACAGACATACATATCTGTTACATATAGACAGGTTGTATAGAGACAGTTGTTTGTATATCTGTTACCTATAGACATGTGTCTGTACATCTGCTACATACAGACAGGTTCTTTATAGACAGGTGTCTGTATATCTGTTACCTATAGACAGGTGTATGTACATCTGTTGCATACAGACAGGTTCTTTATAGACAGGTGTCTGTATATCTGTTACCTATAGACAGGTGTATGTACATCTGATACATACAGACAGGTTCTTTATAGACAGGTGTCTGTATATCTGTTACCTATAGACAGGTGTATGTACATCTGTTGCATACAGACAGGTTGTATATAGACAGGTGTCTGTATATCTGTTACATACAGACAGGTTGTATATAGACAGGTGTCTGTATATCTGTTACCTATAGACAGGTGTATGTACATCTGATACATACAGACAGATTGTATATAGACAGGTGTATGCACATCTGCTACATACAGACAGGTTCTTTATAAACAGGTATCTGTATATCTGTTACCTATAGACAGATGTCTGTACATCTGTTACATACATCTGTTACCTATAGACAGGTGTATGACAGGTGTATATCTGTTACAGGTGTATGTACATACATACAGACAGGTTGTATATAGACTGTTATCCCTATAGGTGTATGACAGACAGGTTGTATATAGACAGGTGTCTGTATACATACAGACAGATTGTATATAGACAGGTGTATGCACATCTGCTACATACAGACAGGTTCTTTATAAACAGGTATCTGTATATCTGTTACCTATAGACAGATGTCTGTACATCTGTTACATACAGACAGGTTGTATATAGACAGGTGTCTGTATATCTGTTACCTATATACAGACAGGTTGTATATAGACAGGTGTCTGTATATCTGTTACCTATAGACAGGTGTATGTACATCTGTTGCATACAGACAGGTTCTTTATAGACAGGTGTCTGTATATCTGTTACCTATAGACAGGTGTATGTACATCTGCTACATACAGACAGGTTGTATATAGACAGGTGTCTGTATATCTGTTACATACAGACAGGTTGTATATAGACAGGTGTCTGTATATCTGTTACCTATAGACAGGTGTATGTACATCTGTTACATACAGACAGGTTGTATATAGACAGGTGTCTGTATATCTGTTACCTATAGACAGGTTGTATATAAACAGGTGTCTGTATATCTGTTACCTATAGACAGGTGTATGTACATCTGTTACATACAGACAGGTTCTTTATAGACAGGTGTCTGTATATATGTTACCTATAGACAGGTTGTATATAAACAGGTGTTTGTATATCTGTTACCTATAGACAGGTGTTTGTACATCTGTTACATACAGACAGGTTGTATATAGACAGGTGTCTGTACATCTGTTACCTATAGACAGGTTCTTTATAGACAGGTGTCTGTACATCTGTTACATATAGACAGGTTGTTGATAGACAGGTTTCTGTATATCTGTTTCATATAGGCATATAAAGACAGATGGCGCTGTGTATGTTGTTATAGATATATTTAATGTAGAGTGTTGTCTGTATATCTGCTGTTTTTATGATAAACAGAACAGAAGTATTATTAGGAGTCTCAAATAGCTTTACTTCAACGACACATACATAATGATAATAACTAGACATTATTGATATCAAAACACATTTAAGGATTGATATATCTATCAACATCACAACAACGACACAAACACACATTTAGTAAACAATTCTATATCATTAATCATTGTAGCAATAACAATAATACATTTAAAGGTCGGTAGAAAAAACAAATCTTGTCAAAATTTTGTTCTGAACTGCGGGTCACCAATTAAACAGATCCATGTGATAACAGTACTAAAGATAAGACCAATGTGACATTAGTAGCAATGTGACTAAATCTTCTGTACATGTCACAGTTACTGATAATATAAATAACATGACAATATCACTAAAATGTTAAACATCTACACTAATAAGAAGAATGATGCTGTACTTTCTACATAGAAAATCTTCCAACCATCTGACTAGATTGACTCTGATGCATAGAACCCAACATTGAATAAGTTTGCATAAACATTTTTTTCTCTCTAATTTTTATTTCCATTAGCAATTCATACAGTACAATGTATTACAGATATTTGTATTTCCCATTCACAACACTTGTCTTTATCATAATACCTATTACACATAATATTTCAGTACCTGGTACAGAAATATGATTTATATATATATATATATATTTTCATATATCATTACTTCAGGGCACATGTGTAAAAACACATTTAATTTGCTCTGAAACAGAATCAGCACCTAGGATAAAACATAGTTGACAAACATTTATAACTGTATTTTTAATGCATGTAACAACTGATAGAATCTGAAATCTTCTCTATTTGTCCTTATTATCATATCTATTCTGTCTCTCAACTCATTTCTTATCTTACCAATTAGAGATAGTGGATTTTGTATTTCATTTTCAAATTTCTTTGAATTTCTGGCCTTCCAGATTAACCACTTAGAATGAAAAATTACAATGTTACAGAGTTTGTTGATGTTCTCTGGATATTCTGATATACCAAAAATCCTTTCTTTATCAGTAAAAACAATATACTGATAATCTACTGAAACATTAAAGAGACACTCATTCAATAACCTTTCAATTTGTAGCCATACCTCTTCACTCAATCTGCACTCACTAAAAAGATGTTGTTGTGTTTCTTGTTCTTCCTTACAAAAATTACAAAGACCATTTGATTTCTTCATTTCTTTCAATTTGTGTTCAGTAGTTATAATTCTGTGTATACTTCTCCACTGAAAATCTTTTACTTTTTTTTCTAGTCTACTGCTGTTTAATGAATGCCAAACTGCTTTCCACTCTAGATTGTAGTCTGTATCCCATTTCTGAATAGATTTTATCTGATTTGCTGTTTGAAACAATACATTTTTAATAGCTTTATTAAATAGTTTATTTAGTGCCAGCAAATTTTTACCATAAATGAAATATAAATCTTCTGTAATTTTGAATTTAGCTCTATTGTTTCCATTGTTATTTTGTAGCATATTTTTCCATTCCAAAGAGAAGGCTTTTCTTATAGTTGTATACTCTGATATCCAATTATTCTTTAATCTTAATTTTCTAAGTAATTCTCCTGATGTAATAAAGTCATGCTGTTCCGTATCCCAAATATCTTGAACCTTGGTAATCCCACTACTTGCCCACCCTTTATAAAATATAGGACTGTTTTTAAATAGTAGATTGTGGTTTCCAAATAAGTTCTGGTTGAGTACATCATCTGAAGTGGAAATAGAAGTGGTTCTCAGCAACTTTTGCCAATAGAACAGCCCTTCTAAATATATTTCTGAGATTTTGCTAATTTCTAAATTCTTAATGTTACTACATCTGCATGAAAAATAATTTGCATGATATACTGCATCATATTTTTGCAACATATTTTTCCCAATTATGTTCCAAGATTGGATATCACAGTGAATAAGACGGTATATTAATTTAATTCTGTTTATTGCAATAATGACATCTAGGTCTACCATGTTCAAGCCTCCATCTTTCTTTTCTAGATAAACAGCTTCTTTTGAAACTTTGTTTATTTTACTTCCCCACAGAAATTCATAGATTAATATATTTATTCTACGCTTATATTCATTTGGTATTGTGTTTTGTGCTAATTCATATGTCAACTGTGAACACAACAGTGACTTAATTATAAGGGTTTTTCCTTCTAGTGTCAAATGTCTTGGTCTCCATGTTTTAATTATGCTTTCTATTTTTTTTATTTTATTTTCCCATACCCGTTTTTTATCTATATTGTACCCCATATAAATTCCTAGAACTTTAATGTTGTCTGTCACCCATGATATCTCCATGTAGTTTGGAGGTCGTTGCTTCCAACTACCAATATACATACCTTTTGTTTTCTTCTTATTGATACGTGCGCCTGAAGCATTCTCGTAGTATTCAAGTACTTTGAAAAGATATTTAATGCAATTTTCTTTACTTAAAAATAGTTGAGAGTCGTCCGCGAACATGCTAATTTTAGTTTGTAACTTTACATCATTGACTATTGGTAGATCGATTCCAGTTATATTATTATCTTTCCTTATTGAACATGCCATTGCCTCTGCCTGAATAATATATAATATTGGTGCTAAAGGGCACCCTTGTTTTACTGAACGAGATATTTTGAAGAATTTAGACAAGTGTCCATTTGTTAGAATACAACT